ATAATTTCTGCACTGCTTTCCAGGAGAAACGAAAAATTGGCATGATACATACACACGTACATATTATGTGGGATCTTGCATGAGAGTAGTACATGTTTTGGTCGCAATTCGTAAAACACCGTCTTACTAACGTAGTTAGTCCCAATCTCCTTCTTGGGACTCCTTCACCGTCAACAACATAAAGCGCTTGGCCATTATCACGCCATCGACAATTAAAGTGTCCTTCCGACCAGGAGCTTGTATACTAATATCGTCGCGCAAATAAAATTCTTTAACATGTTCTTTTTCTTTTTTCGATCCTGAACTGATTTTGTTAAAAGATGTTGAACCATATTCTTTATATAGTAAGTCAACAATATGTGCTCTTTTCTGCGGGTCTTCTGGCAAAGCAGTTTTCATTTTCTTGAAAGCTTTTCCAAAAGTTTGCTTGCAATTGTAGGGCTGACCCAGTGGGGAATGACTGTTTCTGCAGTTTTACTCTTCTCCCTCAATCGGAATTTTTCTACCCTCAAACGAGTTTGTTCTTTTCTTTTGTCTAGCCGTTCTTTGTTTGCCTGATATAACAATTTTTTTCTATGTTTTACCGCTCTCTCTTTTGCTTTTGCACGGACCATCTCATTTTTCGCTAGGTCCGATTTCATTTTTTTCCTGTATCGCTCTGAGTAAATTTTCCCGTTATTGCTAGAATCCATCTGTATAACTGATAATTTATTGTAAAATCATAATAAACCAGACAGAAATAAAAGTTACTTACAATCTGGCGTGACGTTACACAATTTAGAAAATTGATATAAACTGTAGTAGCTGTAGCGTCCTTGCGATTTTTGTTGAAATGTTGTTCTACGTTGAAGCTTTGTTAAGTCGCTAACTTTTATCGACTTTTGATCAGTAGCGAAGACACAAAAAGACTAAATTATCTTTTTCTGGCGTTACGTTACATTAGAACATCGCTCAAAAGCAAATCAAAATTTTACAGTTAATAGATATTTGCTAGCTCTCTTTCATTTATTTTACGGTTATTAGTTACTCTTACAAATTTAATGTGTAAAGAGAACACGCTCTTACAAATAAACAAAACTGCCCAAAGCATGAAGTTGGACTTTGAAGCCCGATATCTCGCAATCGGTTTGAAGGAGACCTGTGATCTCTTTAGATTATTTAATTTCAAATATTTCTCTTTGGTATTACAAGTAAAAAAAAGCTTTTGTCTAAATTTTAAATTTTCGGTCGTGGTAGACCTTTTGGCGGAACTGCCCATATATATACCAATTTCTTGCATACACATATGTATAGAAAGATATATGTGTTTCGTCATGTCATCTTCTTAGTCAATGTTTTATGTTAAGAATTATTTTGAATTCGTGTCTAGTCTAGTGTAAGTAGGTCAGGGCATGGCGGGAGCGCAATAAAAGCTCGCTCTTTCGCTCAAGGCGAATTCGCCCCGCTTTTCCACCGTAGGTTAGCTAGGCATAGAACGAATTGTAATGATTTTTATAATATAATCGTTAAAATTGAATTCGAGCGAGCGCACCGAGAACTTCTTTCGTCCCGCATTTTTAATAAAACTTTACGTCACCCAAGTATTTTCGGTCTTTCGCATTTAGAAAAACTATTCTAAATTTTCAATATTTAAACATGTATATACCAATTCCTTGTATATATGTATATATAGAATACGAAAAATAACGAGAAGGAACGTGGGAGTCGCTTCTGGGGACGCGATTCTACTTATATCCGTAATCAGTCAGTATATACATTTTTGAGCTTATGATTTTTTAGAATTTAAAAATTAAAAAAAAAAAATTTTTTTGCTACATCTGTTATCTACATCTACAATGTATATTCCACATATAACATGTAGATTGTACATGTACCATTTAGATTCTACATCTCCTCCGCTAAGGGTTGCTCGCGCACTGAACGCGGCAGTGTGTGCGACCGAGAAAGAGAATCAGTAGCGTCAGCAGCGCTGGAGAAGGCGAGGGAACCAACAGAAAATTAATTTCTTCATTCTGGCTATAACTATGATCCGATCTAGTTCAGATTCGGCAATCTGGTAGATATGGGCATACTCTATCTCTACGATACTGCGTTTTTAGTTTTCCCGTATCTTTAAAAATGTGCCTGCCACAGATTTCCGTCCTTTTTGAGGGCGGAAGGGGGTCGGGCGAAATTTTGAAATACACTTGTAGCAGTGTGATATCACATGAGTCTGGAAACCAAATTTGGTCGCCCTAGCTCTTATAGTCTGTGAGATCTAGGCGCTCATCGAGACAGACAGACGGACAGACGGATATGGCTATATCGACTCGGTTATTGATGCTGATCAAGAATATATATAATTTATGGGGTCGGAAACGTTTCCTTCTCTGCGTTGCACACATCCACATTTACCACAAATCGAATATACCCCTTAACTCTTTTTTGAGTACGGGTATAAAAATGTATTGACAAAGTAGAAAGCCGATGGCATTTGCACAATATTCATTGTGCAATTTCAAATAAATCAAACAAATAACAGCTTGTTTTTATTTATTTCCTACGCCCACCCACTCTGCCCATAACTCAGGTCGCAACATCAGCCCTCAAAACAAGACAAAAATTGTAGAACCCACACACAAGCACAGTATGTGAGAATACGCCCTGCAGTTCCAATTAATTGATAAATATTTTGTCGTGTGTGTGTACACACATACATTTGCAATGCTCGTCTTGCTTTCGCATCCCGTCATGGGTCGAACATGTCGTCAACTTGCCGAAAGGCCCAGCTCTCGACCCGAATGCCTCAGCACCACAGCCGAATGGTCCCAGCACCCCAGCCGAAGGCCTTGGTGTGACGATACCCATCCCTAACGGGGAGCAAATTTTTGGAGAAATTTTTTCTACGCACCACATATACCGTGAATCATTTGAATTTTTGGTGACCACTTCAAATAATTCAGGATACACTGTACGATCTGCAATATCGGCCGAAATGACATTGTAAATTTGATTCGGCCTTATTTTTTCAATCAGCCAAATACAAATATGCGCATGAGACAAACCTCGTTTCTGCCACTCAATTGAATACATCCAACATTGAAAAGACCCAAATTCACCGTGTTTGACAATATTCCATAAGTGATTTCAATTTTTGTCTAAAAACACATGCTAAAATATCACGGCGATCTTTCAATGATTGGCCAACAAACAATAATTCCCAGATTTCTTCCCATTGCATATTACACGTAAAGGTGAGGGGTCTGGTCGACCGTAACGGCGAACGTACGACATCGCATCTTGCGCGTACTCACACATATGTGGACTTTCAACATACGATGTGCATTACGCATCAAGCAAATACTCTTCGAAACGGCTACACAAATTGCTATTTTTCAGAAAACAATTTTACACACAACCGGAAACCGGAAAAAATGTTACATTTTACATTTTTTTGCTACATCTGTTATCTACATCTACAATGTACATATATTCACATATAACATGTATATTATACATGTACCATTTAGATTCTACATCTCCTCCGCTAGAAGAGCCCTCTAGTTTCGGCAATCTGATAGATATGGTCATACTTTACCATACTGCGTTTTCAGCCACAGATTTTTATGCTTTGTGCGGCGGAAGGGGGCGGGGCGAAATTTTGAAATACACTTGTAGCAGTGTGATATCACATGAGTCTGGAAACCAAATTTGGTTGCCCCAGCACTTATAGTCTCTGAGATCCAGGCGCTCAACACTACGGACGGACAGACAGACATGGCTATATCGACTCGGCTATTGATGCTGATCAATAAGATATATACTTTATGGGGTCGAAAACGTTTCCTTCTCTGCGTTACACACATCCACTTTTACCACAAATCTAATATACCCCTTAACTATTTTTGAGTACGGGTATAAAAAGGTATAAAAACAAAATCTATCATAAGCTGTTCCCTTCTACAGAATGACACAAAATCAAATAAAATAGGCGTTCAAACTAAAATTTTTGCCCAAATTTGAGATTGTTTTGATTAATTTTTAATTTTTGAGGAACCTGTGTATGTAAAGAAAATTTTTTTTTATAAAACCCATGCCACATAGTAACGCTATTTTAAAAAAAAAACCGCATGCAATTTGGTGCAAGCGTTGCGGAGATAGCCCCTTACAGACAAATTTTGTTCTACAAATTTATAGTATCGATTTTTATTTAAACCCACCTAAAAATTGGATCTGGTTTTGATCCGAACAGCCGATTTGGTTATCGATAAATCTCTGTTAAACATAACATAGGCCTTTTTGTATAAGCTGGCACTAACGCGTGGGTATAACAGCAGTAAAATTTAGGCTTACAGTACAGGAGGAAAAAAACCTTACTTTTGCGAATGTCAGAGTGCCTTGAAATGAAAAGTATGACTTTTGCTGAAAACGTAAAACGCAAAAGTAAGTGAAAACCTGCCTGGTTATATCACGATGTACTGCCTGTACTGCTTGCACTGCTTCTTTGGCTGCACTACCGACCCCTCGTACTGCTTGTTTCGGTGTATACTGCTTACCGACTCTACTCCGATCTGGTAGCCTCCTGATCTCTTTGAGTCGGACAAAGGTATGTCACCGAGCCAGCTGAGGGTCAAGAACTCACAACTACACCAAGGAATTGCGCTTTTATTATTTAAAACCAAATATAGGCTCAACTAGCTTGGGTTGCTTTACTTGGCTATGCTTTCTTATAGGCCGCACCGCTCATCCATTCACTGGTACAATTGTAGCACTATAAAAACACGACTTCTGAACTTTTTCCAATTTCTTTACGGAGCGATCTCAAAATGGATCCGCAATCTCTCTGAGTTCTGATTAACGAGAGTATGCTACACCAAGTTATTAAGAAATTTGCAATTCTATAAAGTTAATGAAAGAAACTATCAATCCGCCGTAAAAACTTTATTTCTTAAGCTTGCGGCTTGGGATATTTTAAGCTTTCAAATAAAATATGTATTAAAAATAAGTGAATAGATTCTTACCCAAAGGCAACACGATCATAAAAAGAAAAGGCGGTTAGAAGATATCGTAGCCGAATTAAACTCCGGGGTTCTAAAATTAATACGCGTACTCTGTTGTCCATCCATCCATTAAGAAAAACATCTATGTTGTCATCATATACGCGCTGAACTATCTTATACGGCATTTTTTTTCGTATAAATTCTGTTTATATATAGAAGTAGAAAAAAATTTAAAATTGGTATGTGTAATATTTATAGTTATATTCAGTATTTAGTAGTTACAATAAAGACGATATTCCGACTTAAGTCTAGTACTCAGATCCAAAAAACTTTAGCTAAAGCCTAGTAATCAGATCCAAAAACTGTTTGCTAGCAAACAAATGTCATATGAACAGAGTTGTGCACTGCATTTCGTACGGTTACACTGCTCAGACAGCTGCTTGGTTTTGTTTAAATTTCATAAAATGCACTTCTTCGGCTGGGGTCGCTCTTCCCCAGGCATATCCTGGGCTCCCCAATATTTTATTCGCAAGGTAATGTGTCTGACTATCAGCAGCAGCAGATGGCGACGCCTCCCGTGCCGACCACCGTGAAGACAAAATGTTTTGAAAAAAATATTTGTTTTATATTTATGAAAATTAACAAAAATAATATATTATAATATCCATATAATTGTCTTTCATTTGGTGTTTTGTTCTCATATTGCAATGTTTCCTTCGTGTTTGCTGGCAAAATATATCAAATTGATATAACTTTCAAGGGGCTAGAAACATACCAGCAACACCAGCAAATACCTTCGGATTCTTTTTATACCCGTACTCAAAAAAGAGTTAAGGGGTATATTAGATTTGTGGTAAAAGTGGATATTCTTGGTATATTCTTGATCATTATCAATAGCCGAGTCGATATAGCCATGTCTGTCTGTCCGTCTGTCTGTCTTGTTGAGCGCCTGGATCTCAGAGACTATAAGAGCTAGGGCAACCAAATTTGGTTTCCAGACTCATGTGATATCCCACTGCTACAAGTGTATTTCAAAATTTCGCCCCGCCCCCTTCCACCATAACAAAGAACGAAAATCTGTGGCAGGCACATTTTTAAAGATACGATAAAACTAAAAACGCAGTATCGTAAAGAATGCCCATATCTACAAGACTGCTGAATCTGAATCAGATCGGATCATAATTATAGCCAGAATGACGAAATTAATTTTCAGTTGCTTCCCCTGCCGCCTCCAGACAACGACAACACAACTCATTTTCCATCTCGCTCGCACACTCTGCCGCGTTCAGTGCGCGAGCAACCCCTAGCGGAGGAGATGTAGAATCTAAATGGTACATGTAAATTCTACATGTTAGATGTAGAATAAGTATAATATATGTAGATGTAAGTACAGATGTAGCAAAAAAATGTAAAATGTAAAATTTTTTTTTTAATGCTAAAATTCTAAAAAATCATATGTTAAAAAACTGAGTACGGGTATAAGTAGAATCGCGTCTTTAGAAGCGACTCACACGTTCCTTCTCGTTTAGTATTACCGACCTTTATTTTTGTACAGAGAAAACAGTTTTTGCCCAAAAAAACTAGTACTAACCTCGCGAACAGAATCAGGGTTGATTTTCGTATGAAACCGATGATATATTTTTTGGGCCAAGTTATATCAATTTGATATATTTTGCCAGCAAACACGAAGCAAACATTGCAATATGAGAACAAAAAACCCAATGAAATATTTAAATAATGATGACAAATAGAGTCTAATTAATGCAGCATTATATTATATATCTGCATCAGCAGATGGCGACGCTAGGAAGAGCATAGACAAAGACGAAAATAGCTTAATAGACAAACAAAAAACAAATATAATCAATTTATTATACTTGGGATTGGAAGTTTTTTCTGTGGCAGAGTAGGTACAATTAAAATGCTTTTTTATACCCGTACTCAAAGAGTTAAGGGTTATATTAGATTTGTGGTCAAAATGGATGTGTGTAACGCAGGGAAGGAAACGTTTTCGACCGCATAAAGTATGTATATTCTTTATCAGCATTGTTGTTGTTGAGCTTTCGGGCTGTTCCGACCGCTTGAATGAATTCCAAAAAATTGGTCAGAACGTGAATTCGTTTAAAGTTAAAAACTTGGCTTTATTCTCGAAAATTTACAATGGCGACAAATTTAAGCCGTGTGTTCGTGGCGAAGGGTTATAGAACATATACATATAAAATTTTCAAGGTTCGTTGGACTATGAACCGTTCAGTTAGCTCTCAAGTTTTCAACTCTCGCTCTCAAGGGCAAAACAAGCCACTCAAGCCATAAGTGCATTTGAATTGTTTGTATTTGTATTTGTTTTTTCCCAGTGATACAAGTAAAAACTTATTTTTAATGCACTAGTCAAAGAATATTTGTAGTTATAAAGTTATATAGCTAAATACTAGTAGTAGTATTTAGTATTTAATTATTTATATTTTTTATTGTAGTTATTTTTTTTTTTTAAGTTTCATATGTGTTATGATTGTAGGTGTGTTTTTAAATCTTTTCTAAATTGCGTTGGGTTGCTTAATGACTTTACATGATGGGAACATATGCGAATTGCATTTATAAAATATTGCCAATCTGAATTCAGTGTTTTGTATCGAATGCTCTTTATATTGTTGGTTCGTGCAGAGTTAGCGAAATCAATTTTCTGGTAAAGGTATGCCGGTTCTTTAGTGCAAACTACTTGATGTAAGAAAATTAGTGTTTTATAGTCCATCCATTTCAAAAATTCTTTTTCAAATATCGTAAAAGCTTTGTCTGATATTCTGTCTCCCCTGGTCAAATCGTAAATGTATCTTGCTATATCATCAAATTCCATTTCCGAATACCTCAACGCCATGCAAGAGAGCAGGAATGAGGTATGCTTTTGCAAGCATCATGCTGGTTTGGGTTGTCAGAAAGCGCTGTGTAAATTTAAGTGATCTTAGCATTCCATAAGTTCTTCCTGACGCTCTATTAACTTGGTCGACCCATGTTAATGATCTATTAATAACATACCCTAAGTTGCTTGCCTTTTCGCAGTATTCAATCGGTGTATTACCAATTTGAAGCCGTCTTAGTGCATTTATATTCACTTTCGTTTTGTTTTTATAAATAACAAGAGATTTAGACTTCATAGGATTGAGGGAAAGCCCAATATCATTAGCCCAGTTGCTAACTTTGTCTAGTTCCCTATTACACACATTTATACAGTCATTCAGTGCACATAGAGGTCGACTAACATAAAGTAGGGCATCATCTGCATACATATGACAACTTCAATCAGACAAAACAGATCGTTAACATATATAACAAATAACAATGGTCCAATGAACTGATCCTTGGGGTACACCACGTTTAACAAATAAAGACGCTGACTTAGCAGTTGTTGTGACAACTGTTTGACATGTATTGCTCAGGTATGAGGTCATTAGTTTTACAGCCGTTGAAGATAAGTTGCACTCATTGTGTAGTTTTTCCACTAGAATTGCATGATTAATGGTGTCAAAGGCCTTGCTAAAGTCAAGTAGTGTCAGGAATGTTATTTTTCCTCCTTTTTTTTTTTTTGTTTTTTCTTTTTTTTTTTTTTTTTTTTTTTTTTTTTTTTTTTTTATTCCTCCTAAATCCAGACTGATTACACTAGTAAACATTTCCGACATTTCCGCTGTGGCCCAAAATTACTTTTTCTGATAGATTTCGGGATTTAAAAATTTTTATAATATAATGTATTTTTTTATGATTTAGTTTTTTTTAAGAACTTTTTAAAAACTGGTATTTTTTCATATTTTATTTCAGAGGTAGTGCTTCTATTTTTCAAATAACTTAAGTATCTTATATCTGGTTGCAAAAAACTTTTGCAGTTCTGAAAAGCTGACAAATGCAGCTTTAAGTGCGACCCACACACTTTGTAGCTGCAGCTTAACGCCTGGAAGATATTAAGCTTTCAAATTCAAATTTGATAATTTTTTTCGGTATTTTTTTTAGAAATTTTACTTAAAAAACTCAGGAAAAGCCCTATACTTTTTATTGCTTGCCATTTTTGTTTAGAAGTAATTGCTTAGTTAAGTGTTACGTGTTCATTACTAAATGTGGGTTGTACATTTTTCGTTTGCTTTTTTTCCAGTTGGCAGTTAGGCCCGCAACCTACCAAAAGGTATTTTTTGTTAATTGTTTTAATTTTTTAGGTTTGGTTAACGAAGTTTAGCTCCAAGGTTTCTCCATTGTAGTGGCACCCGTCCCAACAAAATATATTGTATATCAAACGTCACACAGTTTCACCCTCTCGTTAAATGCACCTTGCGCGGGCAGTTGAGCCAGTGTTAAAAATGACATTCGCTTAACAGAGCCAAGTGTCAATGCGTGGTGAATAAGAAAACAAAACAAAAAAAGAGCTCGAGCGGATGGAGAGTTGCCCATGTCGTTCTTTTCTTTTGAGCTTGCGATCCCAGACGGACGTCTGTTAAATTGAGTGCAGTGAAAAGAAAAGAAACCATAACCTCGACTGTGATCTACCATTATAATACCGCGTGTTACGATCCCAGATCGATTCCGACATCCACACGACCCGAAAAAGACCAATTCAACGTTATTTATCATCAGGCCGATCCCATTGGGGTGAGTTTACTTATATACCACCAGCGGCCACTGGAAATTTACTTCGGTTTCAAACCTATTTGCAAGGTTGGCCGTATGTAGTACCGTATAAAGTACTTTGCATAGTACCGTACGAAGTATCATACGCAGTACAGTAGATACTGCCAGGTGGCATTGCCGCGCCACATATGGGCATTGTATAGTGCTGCGGACTTGAGCTACCACTCTCTGGGCGCATACTTCTACGGGGAACTGTACCCAACATGTAACGCTTTCGCACCTACACCGACACGTCTAGCTTGGCATACGAACGTTGCAGCAGCGGTCTACGTATACATAGATACATACAGCTTGCGCGTCGACTCCTCATACGCTGCCTCGAACATCATGCAGAGAATTTTCTGGGCGAGCCACATCTACATTCGTCTTCACACCCACGCTCGCCAGCAGCCAGCAAACGGACAGTAGCAGAAAAAGGAGAGAGCTATTACCGTTGCAGAGCCGTGCCGATCACCGTTTTCCAGTGAATCTTCCGTTTAGTCGGACCACTAGTTTTCTTGCTACGGCAGTGTTTCTTTGTATTAATGACTTATGTTA